CCATGCAGTCTACCAAAACAAAAGTCAACATGATGATGAAATTATGAACGAAAACAAGCCAGTAAGGAAATAAGAGACTGTCTGGGCAAACTCTAGTATCAACATTTATAAACAGGCACTGAAATGGGAAACTGTCAAAACGAGGACATCGAAGAGAAACTCTGAAGCGAATGTTGATGAGAAAAGCCAAAGGTGTTGGAATGGATTTCATCCACGATACCGAAGGACAGAACGTCAAATGTCAATGGGTCACTTGGAAAAAAAATTGGTTAAAACCAGAAAACAAATCTGATATAAACGTAATATCCTTGAAATCGCCCAAATGACAAGTCGCGTAAAGAAACGGAAACACACTTTCAAACGCAACTAGGCTGTGAAGTGTGTTACCCACCTTTCCGTAATCCTATATGACCACTGTTTGCAGCAAGGCATTCAAGATAGCATAGACGCATCGGGCCCACAAGGAAGTCCGGACTGTGACTGGTGGCGAAGAGGACTGATCCTGAGGAACAGTACTTGCCATTCTGAAATATGGTAATCTGGGAGCTGTGCCCTGTGCGATCCTTAACTCCGTACTTCTTGTAGGCCTCAAAATCGCTGAAGCGAAGGTTGTGACAATCTACGCAAATCCAAGAACAATATCCCGCTGGGGCACTCAGTCACATTTCATTAACAGGAGAAGGTCAGATGAATTAGGGTGTCCACGCCTCATCCCGATATTGTCCCATTACGTGTTGAGTTAAAGAGATTGCCCTGCTCGAGCAGACGCGTAATGTTGATTAGGGCAGTGCCTCCATGTTTTATGAGAGCGTCATCTTGGAGTCCTTGCTGAATTTACATACCGATATCAACGGTTCGGCCTCCAGAGCTTGTGCTAAACAAGGCATGCTCAGGAACTGCAATCACAGGACTTCGTGTCTGGCGTGGTGGCGTACTCAGCTTTGGGGAGATTTGCGTTAATGTTTTGGATACAAGGTAGAGTTGTGGGGCGCTGCCACGGCTCTTGGCTCAAACTCACGTAGAGGCATAAACCACGTTCCAGATGCTGGCCGTTACTCTGTAAGAAGCCTCCCATCTACGTACCGCATAGTTTTTGCAGGGGACGACAGAATGAACCAGTCGCTTACCTGATGTAAATAAATTAGCATGAACCTCTCGGGTTGTGTCATCGGTCAACGCACTGCTTTCTTTTGTGTCTTGTCTCATGAACTCGAAAAAAACCACCATGAAAATAATAATACAATAACGCGAGAATTCATCAGAAGGAAGAAGAAGAAGGAAGAAGACTCAGACTATCCCTGGTGCATCGGATGTGCTCGTGAAACCAAGCAACATGGGCTCTGCCATGAAGCAGGATAGAAGAGAAGCAAGTATGAATAGCAGCCAGTCCGAAAAAGAGAAGAAGAAGAAGAAAAGAAGAAGAAGAAGAAGTCTGCAAGAAAGGTGAAGAAGACCAAGATTAAATCTTTACAGTTCGTCTCAGCTGACATTTTAGAGTGGAACAAGTCACTGCTTGGTGGCGCAAGGCTGACAACAAAAAGTACTGGCAATCAGGTGTATTGGTTCATCTAATACTACCTGGCCCTGGCGATCCTTAACACTTCTTGTAGCCTGAAACCTCAAATCGCTCAAAAGTTCGGTGAACATTACGCAAATCGACCCAAACAGAACTAATTATCCCCGCCCATTTACGCACTAAGTCACTTTTCATTAACAGTTTGTTAGGCTGGTAGATTTTGCTGAAGGTTACGGGTGTGTCCCGCTCAATTGTTTGCTTCCTATATTGTCTTCCATTTACGTTTTCATTCCGAGAAAGAGAATGCCAGCGGCATAGGTTGTAGCACACTCGTAGGGCAGTTGTGTTAGGGCCAGTGCTCCATGTTTTTGGAGCGTTAAAAGCGCTGGCGTGCTGAATTTACAACACGCGATATCAACGGTATCGCGGAACACCCCCGTAACCTTGTGCGAAGGTGACTAGGCTCAGGAACTACCACTCAAAAGTGGCTTAGTGTGTATATAGGCGTGGCTAACTCTGTTTGGGGAGATTTGCGTTACGTTTACCATACATTCTTTGGATAGTAGAGTGTGAGGCCGCACGGCTTTGCCAGACTTCACGGATAGATAAACCACTTTCGAGCCATGCTATAGAAGAAGAGATAAGAGTAATAATAAATTAATATAATAATAATAATATTAAATAATAAAGATTCTTTGTACGGTGTCAAGACTTCAAGAAGAAGAAGAATGGCAGAAGTTTTTGCAAGTGATGAAAAGAAGAAGAAGAAGAAAGTCTGAAAGAAGATGTAAATACAATTAGGAATGAACTCAGTGCACGAACAGTCGGCATTGCACATTGAATGTCAGTCAGCACGACTGCTTTTGTTTTTAGTTGTTGTTGTTGCTTGGTTGAATGAAGAAGAAGTGGGAAGAAGAAGAAGAAGAAGAAGAAGAAGAAGAAAGAAGAAGAAGAAAGAAGAAGAAGAAGAAGAAGAAGAAGAAGAAGAAGAAGAAGAAGAAGAAGAAGAAGAAGAAAGAAGAAGAAGAAGAAGAAGAAGAAGAAGAAGAAGAAGAAGAAGAAGAAGAAGAAGAAGAAGAAGAAGAAGAAAGGAAGAAAGAAGAAGAAGAAGAGAAGAAGAAGAAGAAGAGAAGAAGAAAGAAGAAAGAAGAAGAAGAGAAGAAGAAGAAGAAGAAGAAGAAGAAGAAGAAGAAGAAGAAGAAGAAGAGAAGAAGAAGAAGAGAAGAAGAAGAAGAAGCAAGAAAAGAAGAAGAAGAAGAAGAAGAAGAAGAAGAAGAAGAAGAAGAAGAAGAAGAAGAAGAAGAAGAAGAAGAAGAAGAAATAGAAGAAGAAGAAGAAGAAAAGAGATTCCAAATATTAATTTATGGCCAGCAAACTGTACTAGAAGCGAAAAGCCTAAAGTACCAAGACAAATAAAGAAAAAGAGTTCGTTGGGCGGGGACTAAAAACATAAATATTCTAGCCCAGACATTAAATCTTTGTATAGTCTAGATAGCGTAGCAACATCAAACTAGGCCCACTAACCACAAGTCCTAATCTGAATCAAAACAACTGGAACTATAATTGTCACACAGACATCTCTTTTAACATAAAATCAATGTGGTTCACAAATAACAAAATATTAACAACCATCAACGTGCCAAACACGTCACTAATAAAATTAAATATCCCCGAGCGATGATACACACTGATTTATCTCTACACATTTCAACTACTAGAGACAAATTCAGGTGTTAACTACAGAATGTACCACCATCGCAATCATAAGCAAGACTATCTCGGCCCGGCTAATCCCACCTGCATGCGGAATTGTGCTGCCAGCATCAACAACACAGGGCAACTGACCACTCCCAGCCAGGTCATACGCCAGAGAGCGATAACCGAACAGACCGCTTCAGGGTTAATTTTACCCCACCAGGACATTACATATAGCGATAAACACACTGTGACACAAAGTGCTTCAAACCGGATGAGGATCACCCGTGAAGAGGTCCCATAAACCGCGTTAAGCCTTCAGGCTATATTGCGGCCCCTGCAAAAGTCGGGGTGGGGCTTCAAAATAACGAAAAAGTGAGTCCCTAATTGGGACATTTTTTTTAGCCGCTTAACGCTAAGCACGATCTTTTATTAAATGATGGCTGGTCAGGTTTCTTCGCATTAGGGTCTAAAACTAAATAAAGGTATCCGTCGTCGCACGCTTACAAAACAAAATTGTGATCACCATGGTTGTCTGTGAGTTGATTTTATGCTTCACAAATAGGACTATAATATGAATATACTGCAGCCATTAAAACTTTAAAAAAAAAAAAGAAAGAAAGAACTGTCTTTATTGAATCATCCTATGCGTTTATATTAAAGTTTGTTGAAAATAACCTGATGGCCTTTTACTTTTGACGATGAACTAATGAATGAATGAAAACGCCTAAAACAGGGTGCTTGAAATATTTCTGAGAAGTAAAGGTGGATGTCATACAACTGACTGAATCGTTCATCGAGTACTTATTCAGCTGGAGCAAAGGGTGCTAGCACCATCACACCAGCGGAGAGGCGTGATCAGTTCGCATGTGTAAGTTTAGAAGGTAACGATTACACCGGATAAGGTATCACGTGATATGTTCCTCTTCGTCGCTTCGCTGTTGACTGAGTATGAGTGAGCAGCTAGCATTATAGTACCAGTAACAGGTAGCTTTCCTAAGTTACAGTTTCTATATTAGTGGCGTAAACATGCAGAAAGCATTTGTTTCGCTATGCTGGAGACGCAAAACTTACCGGTCACAATCTGGTTATATGTACGTCTTTCCTTTCCTCTGAGTGTAGCAAGCCGGCCAGACCCTCTGGTTACACCCAGGTGCCTCATTCTCTCCAGGCCATAATAATCTTGTTTCTGTACTGATTCCGTTGCTTGTTTTCAAAGGGCCTTGCCTGCATCTACCTTGTCACGTATCAATTTACCACTCATGGGTGCAAATCTAGCCAATCTGTCTGTCTGTTCATTACCCATTACGCCGGCATTGCCTGGAGAAAAAATCCAAAGTATGCTCACTACCCGTGACCTTCCCAGTGAAGCTTGCCAGTCTGATCGAAGCATCCCTGTCTTCACCTTTCTCAGCATGCTTTCAGAGTCTGTTACAAGTACATGTGTTGAAAAAAAAAATAATTATAATACATGATGATATCGAACTGACTACACAGCATAAACCAGAATGGTGGAATACACTGTCAACCGTATGTAACATATAGTGGCCCACCAGGGCAATTAATAAATGCATTTTTCTTTGGCACCGGATTGTGTAAGTGACGATTTCAACGCTTACATGCATGCCGCCTGTCTCATACACACCGTGACTTTCACTTACTTGACGAATCCGTAATATCACGATCGTGGGTCCGCAGTCATTGGTGTGTGACAAACATTGAGGTCACACACCTGAATTTCTGCCTCGCTTTCAGAGGGGGGAACCTACCTGAAGTTACGGGTTCCAAGATGGCTCCTGGAAACATGGAGAAAGCGTTTGTTATAAAGTTTCTTGTCCTAATAGTCAGCTTTGGTGCAGCATGGGGTAATTATGTCACTGCCGTTTCTAACCTTTGTGATAAATGTCATAACGTAAATGAAATAGAATGTCCGTGTCTGCAAGGACATCGTTGTTTTAATAGGCGCCAACTCTCACTCACCTGTATACTGTTTGCCTAAAAAACCCGGAAATAAGAGGCACAATCAAACATTTGTTGAGTCAATTTATAGTCAGTGTTAAAATATCCCCTGTCTAGGCTGGTAGACATAGCGGTGCAGCTTGGAGCTGCAAGAAGTGGACAGACTTTCACCAAGGGGACACGACGTTTGATTAATTAACACACAAAAAAACAGGAGTTATTTTTTTTTTAAAGGCTTGTTGTGAAGTAAAAGTAAATTACTAAAAGAGATCAGATCCGAGAGCACCTTTGAGCATCAATGTAGCTATTTCGAGTGTTGATCACTATTCTAAATTACTCGTCACTTAATGTGATTAATTCATTTATAGTTTATTGTAACAAGTCATATTAAACCGCAGCTATGTCAGTGCATCAGTGTGTCTGTGTCTTCAGTCAGCACTTGTGTCCTTTCATTTAGTATAGTATTATATTATTATTATTATTTTTTTTTTTTGAAACTGGAAGAATATCAGAATTGAGTCTGGAGGATTATACAGAAGAACAGGATAGGTCGTATTTCATGGAAACAAAAAACAGTACAATGCAGAGGTTCTGAAATGACTGCATGAAAAGAGAGTTACTCATACTCAAAAGAAATATAAAGAAAAGAGACAACTGAAATACCATTTTCCGTCTACGAACAGGACACTGCAGGCTCGACTACCACATGCATAAAATAAAGATTGTACAGCCCCCATAGTGTGCCCGTCAGACAAGACCACAAACATCATGAGCACATTCTGCAGACCTGCCCATTCTACCTTAAACTTCAAAAATACACCTGGCCTCAAGAGCAAAGTGTGCAGAGCAAGCTGTAGGAAACCATGAAGGACCTGCTGCTGACATGCGAGTTCACAGAGGCACCCACCTGATGGTCTGATCTAAGCATACAAAACAAGAAGAAGACAAAGAACTGAAATACTTTGGCTATATTCACTCTTTCAGTGCCTGGGGGGTTTAGCATCAGAGGTCCAACAAATAGTAAAAAGAAATATAAAATAGGCATCTTGTATTCATTGGCTTCCAGGTAAAAACGTATGATGCATTCCTTGGGACTGAAAGAGTTAAAAGACATAACATGCTGTTGAAACCATACTGGAGGGAAAAGTAAGAGTGTACAACCAAGACAATAGATAGAGATTCCCCCGTGTGGGTTCCGGGGCCCCATTGTGGGGAAAACAAGAATAGACCCACTGCCTCACCAAAAGCATGTCATAAGAGTCGATTAATTGGGGAGCTTCCTTTGAAGTCGGAGTGCATCTGCCGGAGAGGCAAGGAACCAACAGTCTGTATTCAAGAGAATGAGATCTGTAAAACTGATGCACACGCAACACTCAGGTTCTGGAGCAGGACTGCAGTTCAGTAGTGGATGAGCAACCAGAACTTTCCACCAGAGTGTACAGCTGGTGAACGCAAAGAAGAAGAAGAATAGATAAAGAGAGCGTGTCGGACATCCATTGCGGTCAACCTTCATTGTGGAAACAGCAACTGATTGTCTCTTCATACTTCTAGTCTCATTTCACACCATAGCATTGACTGATTCGTGTTAATCTGCTCATCAGGTTTTTTTTTTTTCTAGTGGTACACAACAGTAGTTTATTTGCTGCATAGTGATTATTGTGTGTGTAGAAAGTAGTTGCAATATAAGCCATGAAATATCTGGTTACATAGTAGTCATTGCAAATATAGACAGTTCTTGCAATGTAAATCATGAAATGTCTGGTTACATAGTCATTACTGCATCTATAGAAAGTATTTGCAATGTAAATCATGAAATGTCTGGTTACATAGTAATCATTCCATATATAGACAATTTTTGCAATGTAAATCATGAAATGTCTAGTTTCATTAAGGACCCATTTCATGCAATTGGGAACTCAGGTAAACTGTGCCAGTTCCATAATTTTGTTTATCAATGACATGAGCACTTGATGATGTGATGAGATCCTGCCAGCCATCTTTACTTCCCAGGACATTTTTGGGTTCCCATTTTAGGCTAGGTTGACCTGGGAACCCTAGGTTAGAGCAGGATGTGGGTTCAGGTAAACACCTGGCTGCTGGACTGCTGCAACTGTCCGTTTCATCAGTCAGCAAGTCGTTTACAGAAGGTCACTTTCTTTACGGTACGCCTGAAAGTATCCCTTTCCCTAGCCAGCTCTACAGCCTCATGCGCTTTTAATGCCAATGCATCTTTAATGTCTTGTATCCATCTTTGCGGTGGTTGACCCCTGCCTCGCCTTCTACAAACTGCATCCTCCATCACCGTCTTTTCCAAGCTTGATGTGGCCAAAATACTTCAACTTTGGGACAGGACGCTGTTTATAAGCCAGCTCTCCTTGATGATCAACTCGTTCAGAATGTTTACTTAGTTAAAATTCAGTATGCTGAAAGACCTTCTTCTTATTTGTTGGCTTTTGGTTTCATATGTTCAGGTCAGAGCTACCTTCATGAATTCACATGTTAGTTACAGGTCCTCAGGTTCCTCACAGCTTGCCCTGCACACTTTGCTCCTGAGGCTCAGTTTCTCTTTGTAGTTGAGAGTAGGCCTGCAGAATGTGCTCAGAAGTTTGTGGTCCTGTCTGATATTCACACTGTGGGGACTGTACAGTCTGTCCTATATGATTGTGGTATTTGGGCCTGAGGTGTCCTGTTATAAGATGGAATATTTTATTTCGCATTCTCCGGCTGTAAACTCTGGTGGAAAGTTCTGGTTATTTGTCCACGTCTAGACTTTAGTCTTGCTGCAGAATCTAAAAGTTGTGTGCACATTCATTTTACAAATCTGACCTATTTGTATGCAGACTGTTGGTTTCTTGCCTGGACGAAGTGCCCAGTTGGTCGACTCTTGCATCATGCTTGTTAAGTGGGGGGGGGGAGCACATTGGATCTGTTCTCATTTTCCCCACAATTGGACCCCAGACCTTCGCTGGGATATTGATCATTGTTTATGTTGTTTTTTGTGTTGACTTTGCTGATGGGGTGGAGGTTAACTGTTGGAAAGCACCTGACGTGTTGATCATTGTTTATGTTGTTTTTTGTTGACTTTGCTGATGGGGTGGAGGTTAACTGTTGGAAAGCACCTGACGTGTTGATCATTGTTTATGTTGTTTTTTGTTGACTTTGCTGATGGGGTGGAGGTTAACTGTTGGAAAGCACCTGACGTGTTGATCATTGTTTATGTTGTTTTTTGTTGACTTTGCTGATGGGGTGGAGGTTAACTGTTGGAAAGCACCTGACGTGTTGATCATTGTTTATTTGAATCTCTTGCCTATTTCTTTACTGATTACAGGGGCCTGCACAATAGACCCGTCCTATATTGCTGACTGGTACTCAATGGAAGTTGGTCGAGATGTTTTCACCCCTGTTACACCAAACAAGTGGGGCGACCTGATGTGTTTAGAAAAGTATGAGCATCCGATTGAAGATAACTTCTTGAAAGGGAGAAATACCACTATGCTGATGAAAGATGCCGGGTATGTTGTTTTAATTATTCAGAGGAAGCCGACAGGCAGATAGACTTGCTGGTTCTACAGCATTTTGGTGGTAAAATGATGCGTGGCAAGCTAGGTGGGGGTAAGGCTCTTCACGAGCGAGTGAACTTGTTGGAAGCACAAACAGATCCTCATAGTCTTAAGAAGATAGTGCAGCAGGGAGCGGCCAGGATTCTGGTTGATAATCAGATTGCTACTGGTAGCATTAGCCGCTGAAGATGGGGATGGAAGGCAATCTGATGTGGGCTCTACTCTCATTCAATCCCACAATGTCCGAGGGAGTTACGAAAAGCAATGTGTGTTTTGTCCATCAAGATGATGATGACCACTCTTTTTCATCAAGTATGAGTACGAAGATGACTGATGAGGCCGATGCGGGCCCGAAAAGTTTTTGGACAGTGAGGACAGGGAATGAGCGTTGTGCCAGGGAGGGGATCTCCTGCAGTCGCCTTTCTGTCCATCCTTTTCTTAATATGTTCTGTTTGCTTCACATGTAGCCGTGCCCTTGTGTAGAGTTGCATGCTATGCATTTCGGTCTTGAGAGACAGCCTCCTAATTGGTGTCATTCATCCCAAATGCTTTGAGTGAAGACTTCGAGCAATACTAAACATAAATGTACTACTCCAAGAGGGGTGTTATATACAATCTTTGCATGAAACATATTTTCAGAGTCCCTGACTAAATGTGAAATATAAAATCATTAGTAATGTGATTGGTTCACATGAATAATACCCAGCCATGCACAGTGGGACAAAAAGAGTTAACTAAACTCAGGGAGAGGTAACTAACAAGAAAAGTTTCTTTAGACAGGGGCAACAAACTGGTTGAATGGGATTTGTGGGACTTGCGCTTGGGGGATTCTTATCCAAATGGTGGCACTTTGTGCTTCTGAATGTTGGCCACTTGTGCGATCCTGGTGGGGTTGAAGGTCACTCATTTGAAGGTGATTTCATGAAAAAGGGGAAATACATCCCCATGAAGGAGAATGAAAATTAGGTTGTTAGTTTTAATTATCCGGATGGAAAGGGGGGGGGGGGGGGGGGGGGGGTTCTTCTTCTTCTTAAAAGTCTATGCCATGAAGTGTTAGCAGTTGAGTCTATCCACAACCTTCTGTCTCATATACTTTCAGTTAACTCTGACACTATTTGTCCTCCATGCCATGGTGTCACACTATCTAGCATCTTCTCTCTCTCGGTTTCTGTCTCTCTCTCTTTTTCCCTCTGACTTTCCTACTGTCATGATTTGTTCCAGTTTTTTTCTTCTCATGACATAACCAAAGGACACAGATTTTCTCTTTCTGATGTGGGCAATCAGTTCTCTTCTTTGTGAGTCAGTTTCTTTCATCATCATCTCTTTTTATCTTCTAAGATATTCACATTCTTTGTCTTTAAAACCAGCTCTCAAATGATTGTGCTCTAATCTATCAACTGTCCATCATTAACTTCAGTATATCAGGATACGATTTATATAGCTTTTAAGAATTCTGTTTCTTAGGGGAGATAACTAATAGAAAGGCAGTTTCATTTTTTATAAAATGTCTTAGGTGCAAGGCACCTGTGGCTTAGGCATTGCGAATGTGCTTCGTTATGCCTGGGTGGCAGGTTCGATCCCAGCTGCGGACAGCATGTCTTGCATAGGTTTTGACAGTGGTACCGAGAGTTGACTGTTCATAAAGCAACGGCAAACTACTGAATGTAAAATTTGCCTAGAAAAACTACAACAGCTGGGGTTGGTTCTGCAATGTCCTGTAAAGGATACGCAACTAACTGTAGGAGCAAGGCAGGTGGACATAAAGTCAGACTGCCACTGGTGCCAGCTGAACGTGACCTATATTTTTATAGACCAATCGGCACTTGGTGGGTGATGCGGTCAACATCTCGCTGGCCACCTTTACTTAACAGGACTGCACCTGGTACCCACTCAAAGATGTGTGGACCTGTGAGTCAAGGTCATTTAAAAAAAAAAGTCAGGCTCCGTCAGGACGTGAACCCACAACCTTCTGATCCGCAGGCGGGTGTCTAGCCACCAACGCCACCGCAACTCATGACCCAAAAGTACAGATGTATTTTTGAGTGGAGAGGGAGGGAGATTGCTTTTATTATCATAAAACCTGCTTTAGATGAGTGTTATAGATAGTAAAACAGTATGGCAATAGCAGTGCTACAGTGCTAAAATGTAATTCATGGAAAAGGCGGAGGGGTGGGTTCAGTAAATGACTTACTGGGGCATAGTACTGCCTTAGTTTTGATCTGTACTCCATTGGTGGTTAGAGGATGAAAAAAAGAATATAAAATGCCAATAAGCTGTTTTCTTGTTTGTGGGAAATTGATTTGTCTTATTCTGTTACTGTTAACTAGGAATAGGGATAACTGTCTGTATTGCGTGGATGTTTTGTGGAGGACACCCAATATTCTGCAGTACAAAAGAAGTAAGTACATTCTTGAAACAAGCCTGCTAAAGAGACAATTACATAGTTCACAACTTATTTTATTAATAAAAAAAAAAAACACATCTAAATAAACAACCTATGACATTGCATCTTGCAAGCAAGTTAAAGGGAACATTTTGTTGTTGAGATCATGTGTCTTTCTGTGGCAACTTATTGATGTGAGTCATGGATGCTCATTCGATCTTGGAAGAAGAAAATTAGAGCCATTGAACAAAAATGCTACAGAAAGGTTTTTAGAATACCATGGATCCACATCACTCGCCAGAATGGCAGACTTGGGAATTAAGATCGGCACAGCAAAAAGCGAGACGCACACCGGACACGTCAGAAGACTTGTTAATCAACATAGAACTGGTACTATTAGCCATCGGACGTTGGGGTTCATACTGAGGGGAGGATCTGAGCACCTATGGACATGTCCGAAGTGCAATGATGATAACCCAACTAACTAACTAACATGGATCAAAAAGAATCGAACCAACATCCTGCATGACCTGAACATTAAGCAGAACTGGCTGGTAAACAGCATCCTGTCTCAGATGCTGAGGTCTTTTGTACATGTCAAGTGTCATGGTGGTCTTCTTCTTCTTTGCGTTCACCAGCTGTAAACTCTGGCCGAAAGTTCTGGTTGCTCGTCCACTAGTGAACTGCAGTCCTGCTCCAGAACCTGAGTGTTGTGTGTGCATCAGTTTTACAGATCTTATTCTCTTTAATGCAGACTGTTTGTTCCTTGCCTCTCCGGCAGATGCACTCCGACTTCAAAGGAAGCTCTCTAATTAGTCGGCTCTTACGACATGCTTTTGGGGAGGCAGTGGGTCTGGTCTTGTTTTCCCCACAATGGGGCCCCGGAACCCACATGGTGGTCTGGAGAGAGCGATGATGGGGGGTGCAGTTTCTGAAAAATGAGACAAAGGCTGACCTCTGTGAAGTGGATACAGGATGTTGAAGATGCACTGGCTGTGAGAGCACACAGGGTTAAAGAATTGGTTAGAGAAAGAGAGACTTTCATGTGTGCAGTGAAGATAATTCTCCTGGACTGTTGGTGATATCAAACACTAAAACTTTTCTCAGACGTTAAGTGTTAAGGTACAGAGATAAGACTGACCAAGCTTAGACTTACTGTCTGCAGATTTGCACACCATCTGTTGGTGTCAGATATTTATCTCCTAGCCAGACCATTAGGAGCAGATAACTCCGGCTAATTGTGTTTAATTCCCCCTGAGGTTACCTAAACTGGAGTGCCGGTCAGATGACATGCTAATAAGAAGAAACTCCACAGGGGAGCATGTGCAGCAGGGGTCTACCAATCGTCAGTAGAAGTAACCTCTCATCGACAAATGTTTCGGCCCACGGGCTCCTAGACATTTTCAGAGAGTGGGCCCACCTGAGTTCATGAGGCTCTGATTGATGACGATGTTAATAAGCTGCATTTCTTCTTTTATTCTCTGAACTACTTGTGTAACAGGCTATTGAATAGATGCATTTGTTACTGGATGATTCCACCAGAAGAGGTATAAATGAAGAATTTATTTGATGTACCTACCTTGAGTAGAAGAAACTGATGTATAAATTCCAGGGGATACTTAGATTCTGTTTGTTCATGAAACTCTGGGAAAACATTAAATACAAATTAGAGAAAGAAAATAATATATCTAAGTTTGAAAAAAAAAATATTTGTTGAAAAGGGAAGCAAAATCTTGACAGAAGAAGATAAATAAAAACAATATTAGTAAATGAAGGAAAGATATTTTTATTAAAATGTGCTTTGGTGAAATTTGGATGAGACATACAGATATAAATCAGGGGAAGACAGGTGTATCTAGTATATAAAATATTTTGTTGCATCAATAATGTTAGCAATATAAAAAAAAGTATAGTTCCCTTTTCCACTCCAATAGGCGTATAGGGCATTAAGGGCTAGACCTATATTTGTATTGACCAATCGGCACAAGATGGGTGATGTGGTCAGCATCACGCCGGTCGCCTTTACTTCCCAGGACTGCACCCAGTACCCACTCAAGGCTGGGTCTACCTGGGAGTCAAGGTCATTTTTGAAAAATGTCTGGCTGCTTTCCTCCTGTGGGTTCAGGGGTTCCAGTGAAAAAAAAAAGGGGGGGGGGGGGAAGAATAGACCTGCTGCCATCCCAACAAGCATGTCATAGGTTAATTAGTTTTCTTTTGAAGCTGGAGTTCTGCCTGAGAGCCAGGGGACTAACGGTCTGCATAAAGATAAGCCAGAGTTGTAAAACTGATATGCGTGCAAAACTCAAGTTCTAAAACGAGAAGTGCACCAAATACCAGAACTTTCTGCAAGAGTTTACAGCTGGTGATATTGCCGCTGGCAGGCGATTGCTGCTTTATTTAAATATATAGTTGCTGTTGAAGAACATACCCAGAAATGTTAAATCATTTATGGGTCTCCGCTTCAAAATAAAAATGAAATAATTCACAAAATAACATTGCTAATGATTGATTGTTTCACTTCTTCAGGCAGCTGTTACACTTCAAACAGTGGTTTTAAAAATATGTGTAAAGGAATCGCCAAATTGCCAACACAAGATACACTCGTAACCTTGTTCAGTGAGTAGCTTTAATTTAAACCATTAGTTGCCATTCTATTGTAATTCATTATTACATTTTTTCAGGGATTTTTCCTTTCTGAATTTTTTATGTGCTGTTAAAAGTTTTTACAGATATTTGTAAATTTGAAGGACAATTACAAGGTAAACCTCGCTAACACAAACCCGCTTAAGATGAACACTCCCTTAACACACACACACACAAATTGTGGTCCTACTATGAACATATTATTCATAATACATATCTTAGTCCTAGAAGTACTGAAGAGTGATTCTTTCAAAGTAGCAGTGTATCTCCCTAACAGGTGAACAACCTGTAGTCAGTATTCAAATAAGCCAGATCTGTCAAACAGATATGCAGACAAAACTCAGGTTTTGAAACAAGACTGGAATAAGAATAAACAACTAAAACTTTCTGTTGGAATTTACAGCCCCTGAACAAGATAAAGAAGCATTACCTTATATGTAGGCACTTACCTTAAGAACTTGACATTTTCTTGCCTCAAGAACATGACATGTTTTCATCATTACAAAGATTTTATTTGTTCATCTTTGTTTTCTCTTGTGTGTCACAGAGCAGACTTATGAGACCGTGAACTGTATCTCCACTTGGGAGGGAGTCTACCAGTTCACGTATGAAGTTGACTGGGGCGGTGGTGGTATCTGTGACAATCCAGACAATCTCCTCAAGGCTTGTCAGGATCCAGGCTCACCATACGTTGACAACCAGGTGTTCTTGATCACGTATGCCAAGTGTCCCACTGTGCAGACGTCTAAATCAGAGAGTGAGTCATTTAGTAAAGCATGTAATTTGTAAAGCATAAACAGATCTTAAAATCGTTTTTTTTTATATTGAGTTTGGATTTTTGTGTGGGATTTTGGATTTTTGTGTGGGATTGCATCATGTTATACGCTTTACTGAAGTAAAATAAGGTTATCGTCTAGTTTCTAACTTTACAACGAATGAGTCGTCCCATATTTATTCTGTTCCTATTCCAGCGAGCACTACACAAAATATCTATCACTATCTCCATGTGAAAAATTAAACAGTCAGTCCTGGGAAGAACAGTTCAAATATGCATAAATGCTACTTTTTGATCACACTGAAATAGACTAAATGTTAACAGTGCATTTAAATTCCTGTGTGTGATTTCCGGCCAAAAATTGGCGGAGGAATAGCAGAATGTTGCGCTTCGGGGTTGTTTTTGTCTCCGAAAGCGCTTTGCTGGTGCATTTTCCACATGTGGATGGTAATCTATGGTTTTGCTGCCTAAACTACTTAGTTTAGTGCCTGGTGCAGTCCTGTGGAATGTCTTTCATTTGTGCGGCGGTTGTGTCGTGTTCAGTATGGATGTTAGCCGGTTTACGTGTGACCTGGTGGAATACCGTATGTAGTATGACCAACTTGTTGTGCCCGACTACTTCCATCGACGACTGACTGCATTTATGATGGCCACTGTTATAGCTTTTGTCACCTCTGGAAATGGGCATTCGCTGCTTTTACATATTTCTGGATTGTGCTTGCTGGGGCTAATCGTTTCGTTCACCAGTTTTTCACATGCGACAGTGAAGAACATTTCATTTGATTTGCACTGGCACAGGAACAGAGCAAGTATTAGGAAACCTGATTGCAGTGATCGTTGAAACCTTGACTAAGACTAAAGTTAAGACTATTAAATCTTGTAATCAGACTAGGTGAGTTCATTTAAATGTCATTCTCTCCTGAAGGAGAGGACAGGAATTCTCCATGATATTGTGTTTCATCTCACTGTCACTGAACAAGTCAGGACTCTTCTGCACAGATATAAATATTCACTTTTCGTGTGTATGTGTATGTACTTGCAGCTATCCGTTACCAGTGTATGGGCAGTTGGTTTGCCGTGATTGGAGATACTGGCTACACGTTTGCTGCAATAGAAAACACTGTGGAGAAAGATACCAGAGAAAAGTACAAATGTATGGTAGGTCAGATTTTCTGTGTTCAGTAAGAATTGCAGTCTCCTTTTTTTTTTTTTTGCAATCATTTCCTTAATTTACACTGACATGTGGGTGATAACTTCATAAATTATTAACTTCTTAGGTGATCGTTTGCTGTGCATCTATTCCAGTATGGTTCATTCCTTCTAAATCAGAGCGCACCTGCCTGAGAGGCAAGGAACCAAAAGTCTGCATAAAAATAAGCCAGATCTATAAAACAGATGTACATGCAAAGCTCGGGTCCTGGAACAAAGCCAAAGTCTTAAAGTGGATGAACAACCAGGACTTTCCACCAGAGTTTGAAGCTGGTGAAAGCAAACAACAGTATGGTTCATAAGAATAGACTCACTGCCACCTAACAAGAATGTTCTAAGTGCCGATTAGTTAGAGGTGTATCTTTCAAAGTTGGAGTGCAGCTGCCAGACAGGCAAGGAATCAGCATCTGCATGTACTAAGTTAGTTCTGTAAAACGGATGTGCATACAAAACCCAAAATTCTGGAACAAGACGAAAGTCCAGAAATGGATGACCAACCAGAACTTTCCATAAGAGTGTTCATCCTGTGAACGTTAAGAAGAATTTATCAACTAGCTGTTTCTATTTTATGTTGTGGAAATATATATACATATTGTGTCTTTTGCAAAATTTCTGAACTTGTTTAATTGTAGACTTTAAATGATGCATTTTGTGTTTCTGACAGATGACTCTTAAAAATCAGAAGCAAGCTGACAACTCTATCCGCTGGGCAATGTCTCGGTTTGCTGAGTGTGGAAGTCTCAAGAGTATTTATGATTCTCCAAACAGATTAGTACTTAGAAGAGGTCAGTTTGTTAGGGAGAGTTCTGTGACTGTTTCATTAAATATGTCAAGTAGGATGTTGACATATGCAGGCACAGGAAATCAGTTAATATTTAGATGTTTAGGATACCTCTGTTTCTGTATTAAGGCTTCCTCATAAACAGTTTTGTAATTTATTTTTAATTTTTGTTTGAGATAGTAAGAGGAACACATAAATAAGTTTCAAAATGAAACCTCTTTTTCTTCTTTGAGAATCGTGTTTTTTCATCTTCAGTCTCTAACTCTCTTACGCAAATGTATTTTAAAAAATACATTTGCACACATTTCTTCAAGGTAATCTCTATGGGACTTAATATTTACCCAGTCACAGCATTTAAATTCCAGGCAAACTTCTTTTCACCTTGGTGAAATGCGCAAAAAAATTGTCAGCAAGCTCGTTGGAAGATTATGGAGCCAGAAAGACTGGAGTGATGTTGTTTGGCCTAGAAAATCTGACTGAACCTTTGGGTTGTGGCAACATTTCAACTCCGTCTTGACAGCTTACTCACCCAAATTACATTTTTTGTGGGGAAGTTTCTTGGCCAAAAACATTATTTCTTTTTTTTTTTCCAGCTTGCTGCCTTGTGTATGTTATATTGTTAAAATAGCATATACCCACCTTCTTCTTAGTAAGCTAGTATTTCATCTTGCCATCCATTATTTAAAAAAATTTTGGTTAGTGCAGTGAAGATCAGTTTTCTTGCTTTGGGCACATTGGCCATTTAGTGTTAGATCTATATTTACAGATCATTCAGTATTTGATAGATGATCTGATCAGCATCATAGCAACTGCCTTTACTGCCCAGGACATTACCTGGTACCCGTTTTAGGCTGAGTTGACCTCGGAGCCAAGGTGACTTTCTTGAAGTAATCTGTGTGAGTTAGTGAGACATGTTTTTTTTTTCATGTTTAGATTTTGTAGAATTCAGCATTGATTTCTTTCTTTAATCAACATTGTTTTCTAACCAGCAAAAAAAAGTGAATCTTTTATCATCTCACTGATACCAAGTTATAGCCCAGTGTTGTGGTTCCCTGTATTTGTCTTTTGCTTTTCTGGTGGCATAGGTGATGGCTTTGTACATGTTTTTTTGTGTGCATGTTTATTCACCATTTATCTATCTCGTTCTTGGTCTTCCTTTCGTCTCCAAAAAAAATCTAATTACGGCAGTTACAATTAAAATAATCATCTCTCTGTTCTCTCACTATGTATTTTTCTCTCCTGCTCTGTTATTCTGAACACTAAATGAGGATTTTTAATAAAAACCCTTTTCAACAGCACCTCCTCAGACCCAGTACATCACACCACAATGCAATCTGCCAAGGAATGCTTCCGGAGCGTGGTTCACGCAAGGTATCCAGTTCAAATCCAAGGTGACCATCAACGACACGCACATCCACTACTTCACTCAGAGAAATGAGTTTGAGTACGAAGACACTTTCCTCTCCTGCCAGCAGACGTTGGGCACTAGATACCTCATGACCAAGTACATTGTTGGCAAATGGTAAGAGCTCTTCCCAGTTTAACTCTCCAACTTACTTCCCAGTCTAAACTTACCAACTTACTTCCCAGTCTAACTCTCCAACTTACTTCCCAGTCTAACTCTCCAACTTACTTCCCAGTCTAACTCTCCAACTTACTTCCCAGTCTAAACTTACCAACTTACTTCCCAGTCTAACTCTTCCAACTTACTTCCCAGTCTAACTCTTCCAACTTACTTCCCAGTCTAACTCTTCCAACTTATTTCCCAGTCTAACTCTTCCAACTTACTTCCCAGTCTAACTCTTCCAACTTACTTCCCAGTCTAACTCTTCCAACTTACTTCCCAGTCTAACTCTTCCAACTTACTTCCCAGTCTAACTCTTCCAACTTACTTCCCAGTCTAACTCTTCCAACTTACTTTCCAGTCTAACTCTTCCAACTTACTTCCCAGTCTAACTCTTCCAACTTACTTCCCAGTCTAACTCTCCAACTTACTTCCTAGTCTAACTCTCCAACTTACTTCCCAGTCTAACTCTTCCAACTTACTTCCCAGTCTAACTCTTCCAACTTACTTCCCAGTCTAACTCTTCCAACTTACTTCCCAGTCTAACTCTTCCAACTTACTTCCCAGTCTAACTCTTCCAACTTATTTCCCAGTCTAACTCTTCCAACTTACTTCCCAGTCTAACTTACCAACTTACTTCCCAGTCTAACTCTTCCAACTTACTTCCCAGTCTAACTCTTCCAACTTACTTCCCAGTCTAACTCTTCCAACTTATTTCCCAGTCTAACTCTTCCAACTTACTTCCCAGTCTAACTCTTCCAACTTATTTCCCAGTCTAACTCTTCCAACTTACTTCCCAGTCTAACTCTCCAACTTACTTCCCAGTCTAACTCTTCCAACTTACTTCCCAGTCTAACTCTTCCAACTTATTTCCCAGTCTAACTCTTCCAACTTACTTCCCAGTCTAACTTTCCATCTAACTAACCAGTCTTCTGACTTTCCAGTCTTCTAACTTTCCAGTTTGACTTCCCAGTCGGACTCTTGGTGCGATGTGACAAATCATACATTCTCTCTTTGTGGGTTCTGGGGCTGCCTGGAATAGTTGGAACAAGACCAAAGACCAGAAGTGGACAAACATACAAATAAAAAAAAACTTTTTGCAGAAGTTTACATCTGTGTAGTTGTGAACAAGAAGAGGAAGAAGATTGTTACCTTAAATAATCAAAACTCCATTACTCACCATTGCTGTTGTCTGGAAAGTTTTAAAAGACTGGTTCCTGGGATAGCAAGCACAATGTGTAGTCCCAGATTGGAGTTTCAATGTTCTGAAATAATGGCAGTTGATAAAAATGAACAATTATTCCAATGTAAATAACATTTCTTAGGATGGGATTAAAAAAAATGGTCACGGTGTGAATGTCTATAAGTTCCACCTTGATTAGGGAGCTGGGGTTGAACAATGATAAGTATGTATAAAATCCATAGATGCACAATAAATTTATGCACCTTCTGAGGAAGCTGTAGTAGAGCAGTGTTGAGATACTTGCCTGTTGGCTTAAAGGTTTTGATGCTGGTTATGTTTAAAGTTAGTTGTGTATCCTTTACAGGATGTTGCATGCAGAACAAACCCCAGCATTTTTTGGCTATTGTGGCTTTTCTAAGCAAATTTACATTCAGTAGTTTGCCATTGCTTCTGAACAGTCAGCTTCTCGATACCACTGTTGAAACCAGGGCAAGGGCTGCAACCCGGCATTACGTAGTGTTCGCAGTGCCTAAGCCACAGCTGTCGACGCTGGTTATTTACTCCTGAAAGCTGTGGTTGTTGTTCTACCTCTTGACTTTATTCTTGTTCCAGGACTTGATTGTTGTGTGCGCTTTCATTTTTACAGATCTGGCTTATTTGTATGCAGACTCTTGGTTCCATACCTCTCACGATTCCTCCAGTTATTTGACTCCTGTGACATGCTTTTTGAAGAGGCGGTGGGTCTATTCTTGTTTTACCCACACACGTGGGGCCCTGGAACCCACACGGGGGAGATGCAGTATTAATTAATTGAAAATAACTACATCTTCTGACAGAATAATTTGAAATAACGATTGCATGGAACTGAAGAGTTACGTTTATGAGGATCAGTGCTTATCTCAAGCATGGGGTGGTATTCACAGTGCAAAACTGGTGGGAAAAAAGACTAAATATGTATCTTGCCAGGAATGTCCAATATCTGTTTGTCATGAGAAACTCATTGGCAGAATCAAAGAAGGAACAAGCGGAGACTGAAGTCTGACTGTGAGGATGATGGCAGATGAAAATGATGTTAAATTTGTTTAACATTAATATCACTTGGGATAAATCATGCTTGGAAGTCCTCAGAAAAGGTGAATGGAGACAAAGTATGAATAATGACCTAAAACTTTATTTGAGTTCATGTTTAAATCTTTGTCGTGTTGTTAGCTAGATACTCTAATATTTTAAATTTTTAAAAATTTTTTGTCTGCTTCCAGCGAGGTTGATTTTGTGTGCTACGATATCTTGCCACGCCATCATGGGATTGTTCGATACCGAGTGGGTTAGTATTGTTTCTGTTATTAAAAATGTGAATAGTTTTCATATTATCGCGAATGACTGGCCAAGCAGATACTGGCACTGGGCTGATATGCAGGAGACCCTTATTGGAATCCTCAGTATGACGTGGGTTTTTTCTGTTGGGACAAAAAGGAAATTGTAACCTGCACAGTCTGTGGCCACAGCACTAGCCATACAGTCCTTAATCCTCAGGCTCAAAGACCTCCCCGCGCCTACATCTACATAGAAAAAGTAGAAAAGTAAAGGACCCGTTTCCACGCCTTTAGGCGTATAAGGCTAGACCTATATTTTTATAGACCAATCGGCACAAGATGGATGATGTGTCAGCATCAAGCCGGCCGCCTTTACTTCCGGGGACTGTGCCTGGTGCCTACTCAAGGCTGTGTCGACCTGGAAGCCAAGGTTTTTTTTTTATTCGGCTCCGCCAGGGAGCGAAACCACAACCTTCTGATCCGCGACGAGCGCCTCGCCACTCCGCCAGTGCGACTCCTACACAGCAAAAGTGGCTGGTATTAACAGGCAGTAATGACAGTTTATATTAAAGCAGATAACAAGGATTAATATTGGTATGCTTATATGTTGGGTTTACGGAAGCCAAGTGGTTAAGAAGCTTACTTATCAATACTGAGCTAGGATTCAGCCGTCATAGTTTAATAATTTTCAGAAAACAGAAAACAGTGGTGTGGAGGAATGTAGCTGGCCACCCAACCTCATAACATTGTTTCCAGGCATTTTATACCTGATTTTTTTCTTTCCCACATAATTTAGAAATCTGTCAGTGTTAATAAATATAACAGTTGAAGTACAAGATTGTAGTTTTATTGAAAATACGTTATATGGCATACTTCACAAGTTTATGGGGTTTCTTAGCAGTTGTATCTGAATATCAGTATTCTGTGTGTGGTTGCTACAACGCTCAACCAGCTAATTTCTCTTTGTGTCAGCTGAAAATATTTTCAAGACAATGTTCATATAGCCTGTGATGAATAAGGAGCTCAGTATTCGGAAGTGGGGTTAAACAGTTGTGAACAGGACTTGCGATTCTCTGTGTCAGCCCAGTACCAGAGCATCATGTATTGGCTCTGCATTTATGGAAGCCACCTTGGTGGGGAAAGCTTTGCCCCTATTTTCTCTGGAGGGCTGGCCATCATTACCTGGCCCTGATGGAGGCACCGCCTGTGAATTAGGAAACAGAGATGACCACACAACAATAAGACTGCAAAAGTAAGATGTGCTGGTTGAAATTTGCAAATATCGCAGCAAGTTGTAAACGAGGACAACACATTTACATCTTCAGTTGAAAGCAGATGATGAAGAAGAAAACAGTGTTTTCCCATTATATATGTAAATAATGCAAACACTGGCATATTTTGCTGTATCGTTACGTGTATTACTACAGTCATAGACTTGAAGCACCAGCAGATTCACTTAGGCTGGTAGAACAATCTGTACTGAGGTGGATTCCAGGTCACTGGGACTTGGAAGGCAATTAAATAGCGGACAGATTGGCCAGAAGTGGCAGTGACATGATATCACCAAATAGTGACAACCCACCAAGAAACTTAAGACATTTATACAATTTAGTATCCAAGAAAAGTGGCAGGATGCAAACACCAGATTTTCTCCTCAAGGCTCGCTTCATCACCTCTCTAGAGAGGGAAAGTGTATTTGTTATATTCAGACTAAAGACAGCGCCCAACAGACTTTGCCAACATATGTTTAAACTTTGTTGGTGTAGGAAACGCAGAGACATGTCCCTGTAGTATGGCACCAAGAAATGCTAAGCGTGTGCAACAACACTGTCAACTGTATGTAACAGAGGCGCGGACTGGATTGTTCCAACTGCAATGAAGACAAAACTGTATGTAACAGAGGCGCGGACTGGATTGTTCCAACTGCAATGAAGACAAAACTGTATGTAACAGAGGCGCGGACTGGATTGTTCCAACTGCAATGAAGACAAAACTGTATGGTACACGAGGAGAAGTATGGATTGCACGATAGCTTTCATAAAGGCTACCAGCCTCCTAATACGTTTTCCGACAGATGGATTGAAGAAGAAGAAGAAGAAAAGGCATATATGTTGAATTAAGAATCCACATCACTAGTAATACTTTTCACCACATATGACCTATATACTTACAATCCACCAAGTTACAAGTTTCCTGCATTAGTGAGCCCTGTTTTTTCATCCCCTTCAGGTAAGCCTTCACGACTGACCGTTGATGAGCTGGCTGACCCGCAGTTCATGACCAAGAAGTTCCAGGAGGCCTGCAGCTGGCAGTCCTTCACCTTCAACAGAGATGATACCGAATGGAAGTACGAAGTACTGATAAGTGAGTGGGACATCATCTGGTGAAATTATTTATACAGTGCTTGTCACTAAAAATATAATGTGGGTTCTGGAGCCCTATTATGGGGTGGGGGGGGAGGGGGGGAGATAGACCCACTGCCTACTCAAAAGCAACATTGTAAGAGTCGACTAATTGGGAGCTTCCTTTGACGTCGGAGTACATCTGCCTGAGAGGCAAGGAACCAGCAGTCTGCATACAAATGAGTCAGATCTATAAAACGGATGCACACGCAACTCAGGTTCTGGAACAGGACTGCAGTCCAAAAGTGGATGAACAACCAGAACTTTCTGCCAGAGTTTACAGCTAGTGAAAGCAAAGAAAAAAGAAGATAATGGTTATCATAAGACAGAGGATTACATTAACTAATTTTTCTCTTTTGATTAATTTTCTTTGATGAAGTCAAGAAACTTAGAAAATCGGACTGAGTCTCTAGAAAAAAGGTTGAAATGGTTTTATTTCATGGAAACAAAACAATCAAATACTCAGGTTCTGGAAAGACTGCAAATAAAAAGAGTAACTAATAAAAATAAAAAAGAGACAATTTAAGTATATTGGCCACATTAAAAGACATACAACTTTTTTATTTAAGAACTTGAGTTTTGTGTGTACATCCATTCATTTTACAGTCTGGCTCATTAGTAAGCAGACTCTTATATCACTGCCTGTCAGGCAGACACACTCCAACTTTGAAGGAAACACCTATAATTAGCCTCTTATGGCATGCTTTGGGGGAGGCCCACAATGGATCTGTTTTTCTTTGACTTACAAATGAAGCCCAGAACCCAGAAACTTTCTAACTGTATGACTTATTGTTACTTCCCTTGGCCATACTGGTAAGAAAAGTATATTCTTCTTCTCACTGCTGTCCCCTGGAACCCCGGCCCCACCCCCTCTTTTTGTTTTCCTTCCTGTGGATTCTGTGGCCCCATTTTTGGATAAATAAGGGCTTTTTGAAAGACATGGATGTTGCAACCTAGCTGTAAACCACAACACAGCATCACTACTGCCCTTTTAAGGATAAACGAAGAAGAAAAGCTTAACCGTCAGCCAAAGTCCTGCTAATGCTTGTAGCCTACCTCCCTCATACCATTCCTATTTAGAGTCTTCTTAAAATTCACTGGCTTTTAATTCCAGGCGGAGTGTTTCCTTCAAAGATGGAGTGCATCTGCCTGAGAGGCAAGGAGCCAGCAGTCTGCATACAAATGAGTCAGATCTGTCAAATGGATGCACACACAACACTAAGGTTCTGGAACAGGACTGCAGTCCAGAAGTGGACGAACAACCAGAACTTTCTGCCAGAGTTAACAGCTGGTGAACACAAAGAAGAAGAATTCAACGGATAGTTCTAATCGTCATCCACTTCTAGACTTTTGTCTTGTTCCAAAATTTGAGTTTTGCATACACATCCATTTTACAGATCTGACTTATTTATGTCTCTCAGGCAGATGCGTGCGGCGCCCGTGGCTTAGGCGTTGGCAGTCCCACTTGTAATTCCAACCCACTGCTGGCTGCGTGGATTTTTATCATGGTATGGGGTGTCGCAGGTTGACCCAGCCTAAAATGAGTACCAGGATGTATGCCCTGGGAAGTAAAGATAGCTGGCGTAATGCTGACCACATTACCCACCTAGTGCCGATTGGTCTGAAAAAATATAGGTGCTCTTCCCATATGCCCGATGCACCTAAAGGCATGGAAAGGGATCTTTACTACACAGATGCACTGCAGCTTCGAAGGAAACACCCCTCATTAGTGGCCATTTGGGACATGCTTGTTAGAGGGTCTTTGTCTGTTCGTTGTTTCCCTAGAATGGGATGCCGGAACTAACAGAAGAACTACTAAATTCATCCTAGGTTCTAATTCTTTTCTGCGTGTGTTTTTTTTTACCTCCGCTTATTGTAATTTTCAGAGCTTGTTGTTTTTAGTATATTATTAGATTTTTCAGTGTCTGTCCTATCTGTGGAGCAGCCATGGTGTAACGAGTAGATGCACGTCTGCAGATTTGAAGGTCAAACTTTGTTCAGCAATGACCTTGGCTCCCAGGTCGACTCAGCCTTAAATAGGTACCAGGTAAAATCCTGAGAAGTAAATATGTGGTCTTGTTTGATGTGATATTGACCGCATCACCAACATAGAGCCGGTTCATCTGTGAAATATAGGTCTAGCCCTATATACCTGAAAGTATAGAACAGGGTCCTTTATATCTTTATCTAGAGATAGCATCATTTTCTTATGTCAGGATTAACTAGAATTTATTTTACTCAGCGAAAGCTCCAAAACAATTTATGTCAAACAATTTAATTTCTTTCACTTTGCACAGACACTAGTTTATTAACGATTGTTCAGTCATTCTCCATGTTACTTTGTACTGAAAAGTAATTGATTTATCTTTTGTTGTAGCAACATAATGGGATTGTTTCATTTGTTCCCACAGTGGATCCTCCATCCCCAGTCTACTGCCCAATAGGAGGACGTTACAACTTTAAACAGGAGGCTAACGGTTGGTTGGAGAAATATGCAACCAGAATTCGTGGTGTTACTGAAAAACCTCGTAACCAAATCAGCTGTAGACTGGTTGTTTCTGAGATGAAATCGTGCAGTGTAGATCGGTCTAAAATTGAGATTGATGCAGAATATTGTGAGAGTGTAGACTACAGGGGCAGACCAGTTGGAGAGTATGGTAAGTTGTTTATGCTTATATTCTAATCTGTCTGTCGACCTAACTGTCTGCTTGCCTGCCCATGTGTCTTCTTCTTCTTCAGCAGTCTCTGATCATGCGCTTAATTCACTGTGCGGCCATTAACTGAGGTGTCATCTCAAGGTCTCTTAGGTTCCCTAAATCTTAGTTGTCAGGTCTACTAGCTGTGGCCACAAGCAAGACATGTTTGGGAGTCTATTCAGAATGAAGACACTGACAGAGATCTGTTTGGCTGATGGCCTATTTATATGAGTGTTTGTTAAGTTTGCAATGGTCAATGCATAAGCGAAAAACTGACTTGTTCTGTTCAAATTTTTGAGGAAATCTTTTTCTTGGTTCTTGTGTGCCCAATATGAAGTTTGAAAATTTCATCATTTTTGAGTAAAATATGTTACTTGACAGAGCTGAGTGTGCTAAGTATACCCTGGATAATACTCGTACCCTTGATACAAATAGACACACCCTTGTTAAAATTGGCACACTCTCAATAAAGTAAAGATTTTTCATAAAAACGGTCAATCAAATTTATCTGTGGGATTTGTTGCCATTTTCTTCTAGCTCTGTAATCCATAGCAGGGTTTTTTCATAGAAAAAAATAGAAGACGGGCCAGTACTAACCAGTTTCTAAAAAGGTGCCAGTGCTCACCATATTTTTTTTTTTCAGTGGTGTCAAACATGTATACCTCTAAATTGATATTGCCAGAAGAAAAAAAAAAACACCTGATAAGATTTTTGAAATACTTTACATCTCCATCATGTAGCAGGTCCTTTGCTGAACGTTGCTCTCATTACGGTCTGCCTGAAAGAAACTCGGTCTCTCGTCAGCTCTCCCGCCTCATGTACTTTCGTACTCAAGGAGTCACTTATATGTGCCCATCTTCATGTTGGTCGGCCCCTGCCTCTCCTTCCTGGTACCATGATTTCTGCTATAATTTTTTCTAATCTGTTGTGGCGCTGGATATGAACAAAATATTTCAGCTTCCGAGACGGGATGCTGTTTATTAGCCAATCTTCCTTGATGTTCAGATCTTTTAAGATGTCAGTATTTCTCCCCTTCTTTTTCAATGATATTCTGAGAATTTCTTGAGCATTTCAGCTCAAAAGCACCTATTCTCTTTCTTAAGGACTGAGATTTTACATTTTATATCTTCATAAATCCAGTGGTGCATTTAATATTTTACTGTTTAATTTCCAATTCTGTCATTTCTAATTTTTGTTTTTCAATCTGTGTGTCAGGGATATCTCTGGAAAGTAAATTTAGGCAGGATGTCACTGTCCATGCTGCTCATTAAATACCATTGGGCCTGTTGCGATATCCGGAGTATGTCCTGAGTGTTCTATATTTCACTGGGGCCCACCTGTCTTTAAAGTAAGAATGCATCTGCCTGAGAGGTGAAGAACCAAATATCTGCACACAAACAAGCTAGATGTGTAAAGCAAATGTGCACACAGCATTGAAAAGCCTGGAACAAAACTAAACTCCAGAAGTGGGTGAACATCCACATTTTCTGCCAAATTTTGCAATGGCTGGCTGAACGGTTAAGCATGCTCGACTGTCATATGGGGAGACCCAGGGTTGAATCCTAGGTAAGACTGTACTTTTCTGTTAGTGGCCCAAAAAAACAACACTAAAAGCACTAGGCATACAGGCTTAATTTCCTCCCCCCCCCCCCCCTTTTTTTTTTTCCCCAAGCACAACGGAAGTGGTAAATACAGACATTGGTGGCAGAAAGTAAAGAAGAAAAAGATCTGATTGAAAGTTTGCACATTTGTGAATGAAAGAGAAAAAATGAAGAATAAAATGGTGATTTTGATAATGAAAAAAAGGTAAAACATTTGTGAGGAACAGGAAAGATGCTTGAATGTATATTGGGGGGGGGGGGGGGGGGGGGGGGAGATAAAGGAGAAAAAGAGTTAAGTTTCTTGCATTTCTGGCCGCCTGAAACATCTTCTTCGCGTTCACCAGCTGTAAAGGTCTGGTTGTTCATCCACTTCTGGACTGCAGTCCTGTTCTAGATCCTGAGTGTTGCATGTGTATTCATTTCACAGATCTGACTCTTTTGAGTGCAGGCTGCTGGTTCCTTGCCTCTCAGGCAGATGCACTCCGACTTCGAAGGAAGCCTCAAACATAAACAGTTCATGCTGTTATCTTTCCGTCTTGTTCTTTTGTCTAGTTCATGCTCTATATTCCTCTTGTTTGGTATTTGTCTTGTAGAGTATGGAGTTGCAACAGTCTCTCTAAGTGGTCAAATAAAATAATAAGCTAACTTTATCTTAGAACTATACTAGTGTTTGGATGTATTGTAAATTTCATTTCCTTTATTAGATGAACCAGACAACATCTTGACCTGCGTAGGCTATTGGTTGGAAGACATGAAGTCCTACTTGATTACCTACGATGAAGAGGATGCAGTGTCAAAATTTAGATGTTGGGTAAGACTTGCAGATTATTTTTTTAAATGTTGTCTAAAGAAAGCAAGACAGAAGAAGTTCCCTGACAAAAAGTTTGGATCTTGTAATAAATTTTGCTCCAGAATATTCTATGGGCTTTTTTCCACGAAATGTTTTTTTAATATGCAAAAACTTACATTTATATTGATATCTAAAGCTTCCCTCAAAGTCGGAGTACATCTGCCGGAGAGGCGGGGAACGAGAACTGCAAAACAAATAAGCCAGAAAAACGGATGTACACGCAAAACTCAGGTCAAGGTAAAAGCCAAAAGTCCATTTGGACGAACAACCGCGACTTACCGCCGGAATTCACAGCCGGTGAAGAAGAAGAAGAAGATATCTAAAGCATTACTGTTATTAGTTATTTAAATGTATTTATAGTTGTAACTTTATAATTGAGTACATTCATTGTGTGTTTTCAGTAGATGAATCCCCCGTGTGGGTTCCGGGGCCCAATTGTGGGGAAAACAAGAATAGACCCACTGCCTCCCCAAAAGCATGTCGTAAGAGTCGACTAATTGGGGAGCTTCCTTTGAAGTCGGAGTGCATCTGCTGGAGAGGCAAGGAACCAACAGTCTGTATTCAAGAGAATGAGATCTGTAAAACTGATGCACACGCAACACTCAGGTTCTGGAGCAGGACTGCAGTTCAGTAGTGGACGAGCAACCAGAACCTTCCGCCAGAGTTTACAGCTGGTGAACGCGAAGAAGAAGAAGAAGAAGAAGTAGATGAATGAAATCTATCTGACTGTCGATCTTGATTAGGGCTTACACAAGGTGTCTTATAAGTGTCCACCATCATCATCAGGTGCCTTGCCGACTGGCGTGTGCGATCATGCCTCTCCTCCATCTGCGATCTCCTGCAGCATGTATCAGTTCCTGTGCTGACACACCTCCATGCCATGCAACAAGACTGTCAAAAATCTTCTCTGGTTGTCTTTCTCTATCCCTCCTTCCACAGATTTTCCCAGTAGTAACAACATGTTCCACTTTCCCTCTTCTTATAACATGGCAAAAAAAAATGTCTCCTTCTGATGTCTGTGATAAGTTGTCTTCGGGCTCCCGCCTCTTTCAAAACCTCTTGGTTGCTATTTGTGTGTGGCTGTCCAAGGTATTTAAAGCATTCTTCTGTAAAACCACATCTCTGAGGCCCCAAGTTTGGCCTGCCTACCGATTGTCCAGGACTCACAGCCATATGTTAAAACTGGATGTATGTAGCAAGCAAGAATTCTTTTTTCCGAACCCCCAGTGACAAATATATAATGCATATCTTTGTCACTGAGGGTTAGACAAAAAAAGTGTCCATACACAGGAAAAATAAACCTATCACCGACACCATTACAAGCATAATTTCAGCTGGGCTAATATGTGTGCTTCAGCAGTGAAGGACACGCGTCAGTATGTGTTTGAAAAACAATGGGATTTTCCCTGTGTCTGGTAATTTATGGGACACCCTGTAATTGTGGAAGGGTTTATATTACAAACATCCCAGAAAATCACACCAGTTTTCATTTTCAAGTGATGTCTTATTGTTAGGTATGCACAGTAGATGAAAGCATATCATTAGGGTTGGGGGGGGGGTGTCTCTGTGAGGAGTGGTCCAGAAGCCGATTGCCTCGCGCTCTGAAGGTCATAGGTTCATTTCACCACCATTCAGTTCACAAGTGCAATTATTACGGAGATCCCTGGGGATCGTTGCCCGAGCTACGGAGTTCGTGCTTTTTTACAGGTGGCTAGCCATTCTGTGGAGAGGGGCCGAGTCAAATGGGATGTAACCCTGTACAATGAAATTGATCCTCTGAACTTTAACTTTTAAACTTTAACCTTTTTATCATTAGAGGTAGGGGAAAAGACCAGAAATACAAGGTACACTTGGAAAATTTTGCACTTAATATTTAAAAAAAAAAATTTGATCGTACTTACTAGAAATTTGGTGTGAATTGTAGTTCTCCTGTGTACATTCTCCACACCACCCAAAAAGATGTACCTTTCCCATTTCTTTTTTTTACTTTTCTGATGCCCTGGTTGTAGAATTCCATTGTCTGGCCCTAAAATCATGTTTGTTGAATTTGGGTCATTTAACCATTTTACCCCTGTGACCTAGAGAGAAAAAAAAAGAAGCCAAGCTCTCAGTATTTACACTGTTTTAAAATTTGTGAAAAAATCCTTAGAAAAACGATCTTTTATACGTTAAAAACAAAAACACAGTCATTTTGTCGTCGAAGATGTGAACAAATACTGTGCAGAATACAAGGAGTCATCGGTAAAAATGATTGCAGCATAGAATCCTCTTGCTTGCGCCCCTTTGGGGCCTGTAAACTATTTATAGCATGATACCTACTTGACCCTGTGACCCGGTCACACAGTAAACCACTGTAGCCAGTAGGTAAATATAAAATAGCAATTTCTATAAATGAAACTATTCTTTAAATCCCCCCCCCCCTCCTTCCAAATACTATTTTTGTAAATTCAGTCATCATCTGGCATGGGCAATCATGCCCCTCCACAATCTGCAACTGTGTATCAGTTCATGTGTTGGCACCCGGCCACACCATGCCAAAAAAGTTTTCAAGAATTTTCATGTTGTCTTCCTCTGTCTCTCTTTCCACAAATCTTTCCAGTGGTCACATGTTGCTTTTCCCTCTTCTCATCACGTGACCAGAAAATGATGACGGCCTCTTTCTGATATTTGTGATAAGTTGTCTTCGAGCACTCGCCTATTTCAAGACATCTGGGTGGCTCTTTTTGGCCGTCCAAGAAATTCTAAGGATTCTTCTATAAAACGACATTTCTTAGGGCTTAAGAAGTTTGGTTTGTTTAATTAATAATTAATAAGTACAGTACAGTTGGCAATGATATGCGTGCCACTTGCTAGGTCTTTGTGGGCAGCCAGTTGAATGGTCCTGCCATATAGGATAAAAACTTAGTGCAGTAGAGTTAGTGCTCTTGACTTTAAACTAGTAATTGTTTTGTCATCTTTTATAAAATAATTCTTTATCCTCATCTGTTGTATTCTTACATCTCTTCTATATGAATCAGTTGTAGTCCAAGTAGATACTTTAACCAGTTTTAAATTATTTTTAAATTTAGGTTTATGAGCGTACAAGTTGGACTGAGTTACAGCTGTCACGAAGCCAAACAGCTCGATGCAGACGTGAACAGATGTCAAAAGATTATTTGACAGAAGGAACCGGCCTTCATATGATCCTGGAAGAGGCTGAAAGATTGTGTAAGTTTCTTTATATTTGTCTTTGAAACTCATAATTTAACACTACTGAGACTTTTAAAAGGACTGCATTATGTTCTCTTTTAAATTCATTAATGTCTCAAACTGTTTACATCATCATCTTACATTATGTGTGAAAATGAAAACACCAAGAGGCAGAGGGGAATGTAGAAGGAGATGGATTAAAGGAATGTCTCAACTAGCTTAGGTTCTGAAAATGAATAAACATTGTGATATAACTGAGAAGCTTGATGAAGGGAAAGACATATCGGTAAGGAATTTGGTTTTCCAGCTGTGACCTGTGTTCCATACATTGGCAACTTTGGTATTGGTGTGCTTTTGGCATTTTAAGGTCTTTGGCTTAGGTGTTGCAAACGTGCTTCATAATGTCCTAGCTGCAGGCAATTTTTCACCTTCTGTTGGTTTTGACAGTGGTATCAAGAGCTGACCATTCAGCAACAATGGCAAACTACTGAACATAAAATGTGCCTAAGAAGAACAACATTAGCACACACACAAAAGAAATGCTGGGGTTGGTTCTGCAATGTCCTGTAAAGGATATGCATTTAACTTTGTGCTTTCCACCTTGCAAACGATCACTATTCTTGTTTAAATCTCTCCAATCCAACTTCTATCAGTTCTTATCTGTTGAAAGATAATTATACTTCTTCTTTTTCTTCTCTTCCACCATTTACCTCAGCAAGGTGTTAGGGGGAGATATAATGATCGTTTGAGCACTCTTTCCAATGCCTGGTACAAGTTGGTGTTCATTTCTGTTAGGTTGCTCCTGATGGTATCGCTCAATCTCTTGTGTGGTCTTCCCCTTGCTCTGTGTTCATTATATTTCTTCAGTGTGGCTCTCTGTAGCAGTTGGCATTCTTGTTAGGTGGCCAAACCATCTCATTTGTTGTTCAATATACTGATTCACATATTTGAGAATGTTCCTGTTTACTTGGTTGTTACATTGTGCCATGGATCATGGTGAATGAAGTGGAAATAATTAGGATGGGAAAAGGAAGAAATGGTTGCAGATAGAACAAGGGCTGAGCATTTCAAAACAAATACATGCAGTGGCAATAATGGTTACAAAATTGCAAGCATTCTCCATGTGGATTTGGGGGGAGGAGGGCAGAGAATAGATGCAGCCCCACCCCGTCAGGCATGTTGTAAAAGTCAGTTAATTAGGGGTTTCCATAAAATTGATACTCTTCGTTGGCTACTGAAGAGGGGGACAGATCAAGTGTGGGAATATCCTGAGTGCAGTGATGTCAGTTTTTGATTCTTTTTCATTCATTTATTCATAAAATCAAATGTTTTGAGTCGAAAGGCACAGATCTCGCAGCCTGGCTGTAAACCACAACATAGCGTACCAACATCCCTTTTAATGGTGAATGCAGAAAAAAGAAGAATTTCCAAGCACTTTTTATGGAAGACTTCTAGTAATGTGCTAGTGTAGATGCATTTGTTTTTCAATATAAAATAATTTCAAGCGCCTTCATAATAAAATAATGAAAATGACATATTTTAATCTTTTCAGTTGACGATTGCCCACAGCGATTTGACCCTGGGCTCAATCCATACCTGAAGCCACAGGTGATCTATGTGCTGAGTGGATCAGTGCGCTTATCTGCACTGGTGGTCAGTGCACTGAACACAGTACTGGTACTTCTGGTTACACACCTTGTGATAAGACATTAAGTGCTGATGTTTCTAGGGTGACAGTGCCTTGTAAATGTGTGTCTGACTGATTAGTGATTTGAACTGAATGAAAAGTCTGATTGGTTTTTTTTATTGTATGTACAGTTTGATTTAAATATTTCTAAAAAGTATTCTTGTCCATAGTTAAAACCATGTCGTGTGTTAAATACTATTTCCATTGCTTAATTTTTTTTTTTAAATTCAACATTGTTTCTTAAAATAATTTTGGTTTGCTTCTAATGGCAGTTACATTCCAAAACCTAGAAAATATATATTTTTTAAAGTTTGTCAGTCCATTCCTGAATCTGTCTTCGTGACTACACAAGCTGATGCTTGGGAAATTCACCTGTGATTTCCCTCTGAATTTCCCATTGTATATTTATAAACTGAAAATTTGGATTGTTACTGCTAATGATGCCTTCTTTAAAAAAAAAATCTGGTCTTTCCTCTGGCAACATACAGATTATGAATATACTTGGGAGGTGAGCCCAGACAACAGGTGCCTGAAGAGGCTGTATGTGTCAGCCACAGGGCTAAACTATCACAGCTATGCTGTAAACATGCACGGCACAACTACATCCTAAAACAAAATTCAGATGAATGAAGAAGAGGAAGAATGAGAGGTGAAGTTAAGGTTTCCAACTGAAATGTACTAGAAGACCAAGGATAAAGAAGACAAATACAGACACATTCAATAAGATTTTAGTCCTGAAGAAAAATTGCTGACATGAATTCCTTAATGCTTCACATCCCTGCTGAAGGGAGATAATCTTTCCTTTTCACTTTTCTAGCATGGATTGCTTCAAAACATAAATTGTTCAGCTTCTAGTTTATGTTGGCTGCATTCCTGTTAACCCTTTTATGCCCTAAAAATCCTAATAAAACGATCTTTACCAAAAATTTGTAAAAAAAAAAAACAATAATAATAAAACGCCTTGTTATAATTTTCTGACAACTCTACGAATTTAGACTCTCGGTTAGTTTTTGTAAAAATCCACAGGGTTGAAACCTATGACCACAGAGCAGATAGGCACGTCTGCTAGCTTTTGTATCGTGGCAGCCCCTAATGACTAAAAGATAGATTATTCTTAGAATCATTTTTTTTTACAAAAGTAATTTTGTGTGTGTGTGTGTGAAGGGAAGTCATCACTGAATACAAACTAGGCACAGAAATAACCTCTTCCCTTCCCCAAAGGGGATGGGGGGTGTTGTTGACACAGCTATAGCCAGCAGTGACATAAATTTATTCTGACGCACAGTGACACAGTTTTTCCCCCAACTCCAAGTATTATCTGCAACAATTTGCGGTAAATATAATGATCTCCACTGTGTCTACACATTATGCAGTTGCAACTAGTGCCAAGCTGAGCTGCCATGGTCTAGCGGCTAGATGCTCACCTGAAGATTGGAATGGAAGGTCTTGGGTTCGGGTCCTGACGGTGGCCAGATTTTTTGTTGTTTGTTTAATGACCTTGGGTCCCAGGTCGGTACAGCCTTGAATGGATACCAGATCCAGTCCTAGGAAGTAAAAACAGCTGGCGTGATGCTGACCCCATCACCCATCAAATGTTGATTGGTCTATAAAATATAGGCCTAGCCCTATATACCCAATATGTCTGAAGGTGTGGAAAAGGGTCCCTTACTTTACTTACTTTTAACTAGTACTTCTTCTTTTCTTTTCTTTTTCCTTCCACGTATGCCGCTAAGCGTTGTGGGGAGATGCAAGTTCCTGTCATAAGCAAGGCGGGCAGCATCTGATGTTCTGAGGCCATGCTTTTGGCAGGTTTCGGAGACCCCGTCAATCCACCGTTTCCTTAGTCTTCCTCTTGCCTTATATCCTGAGCTTCTTTGGTTGAAAATTTGCGATGTTATTTGGTCATTTTTCATCCTGGTTAGATGTCCAAACCATTTCATTCTTTGATGTTCTATGTAGTCTAAACATGGTGTAGTTTTGACAGTGTTTCTAATGTCTATGTTCTTTATCCTGTCTAGTCTGGTCTTATTCGCTGCTTTTCTTAGACATTTCATTTCACAGGCTTCTATTTTTCTTTCATGGGTCTTGTTGATTGTCCATGTCTGGCACTGGTAGCAGAGTGTTGTAACTAGTACTAAAGCTCTTTTATTGGCCACTGCCTTACGCCATCATGTCATCAAAACTGGCTTTCTCAGGCGACAGGGTTAAGCTTATTATTATAATATATCTTTAACAACAGGTTTCCTTTGTTTGTATTTTTGCTCACTATACTAGTTGTATTTGTTTGTTCAGTCATGTTAGCAATATACTTCAGGATGCCAAAGTGAATGAAAAAGGATGAATGATTCTTAACACTGTTATGTTCAGAGGTATCTAAATGTTCATATTATAATGTACATAATTATACATGCAAAGATTGATATAACAAATGTTCTTTATAATATGCTGGACTAGATCTGCCACTGTAAAAATAAGTATAACGTCTGTTTTGTATGTGTATGTTAGATTTTAACGGATTTTTTCTCTCCAAAATTTCATTGTTGTTGAAGTTTCATTTCATTCTAAGTGTTGAGTCTTTGTTCTTCTCCAAGATTTCTCTAGTACTGTATACATGGGTATGTTTAAAACATTGACTGTATGTTTCACATAACAGTTCTCGGTACCGATAGATACTCATTTGATTTGTTTTAATTTTCATTTGAAATAGGGAACAAATGTAAGAGTTTAAAAGGATTCTTTTTTTTCAGTTAGTTTTAGTTTTATTTCATCTTGTTTGTTAGTTGCCTGATTGTCTAGTTTGTTGTTGGGGATAATTTTTTTTTTTTTTTGCTACATGTTAATTTGTGTTTATTTGTTCCTGTATGTTCATTTTGTTTTTAAGTTTGATTTGTCTTATCAGTTACTTGTATTGGAGGAACTGTTTTGATATGTACAATTTGTGAAGTGTGTTCTTTAGCAGAACCGTCTAGAAAGTGTTCATGTCTGAGTATCACAGAGAATAACATAGCATGTTTCTGCATGTTATTCATTAAGACTTCAGTCCATAGTAGTTAAAAAAGTTAGTTGTGTATATTTTTGGGATGTTGCAGAACCAGCCCCAGCATTTTGTGGCTGTTGTTGTTTTTCTAGACAAATTTTACATTCAGCTGTTCGCCATTGCTTCCTGAACAGTCAGCTCTTGGTACAACTGTTGAAACCAAAGCAAAACAAATTGTCAGCAGCTGGGATTGAACCTGGCATTATGAAGCATGTTCGCAGTGCCTTGGCCACAGACGCTGACTGTAGTAGTACATTTATTTAATTAAACAATCTGATTAAGTGACCAATCTGACTGAAATCTGGCCACGTCACATATTTCTTTTAGGACACACCCTCTTAGTCCTTGTTCCACCCTCTGTAAAAATCTGATGAAGTCATAATAATAAATTTTGTTTCTGTTTAAAATTTGCACAATTTTCACATTCAGTGTTTTAAAAGTTTTTATAGACAGGTGCTGCTAACCTGATCATGCTGGCACTTTTCCATCTTTAGCCATCTCTGGTAATTTGCTAAGCCCACTATGTACCATAAGCTGGGATGTTAGCTCGAGGTCTGTCAGGCTTACCCCCCGAGTCTGCTGGCATGTCTACATGGTGTGACCACATGTTCCTTGCAGCACCTCCAGGAGAGGACAGTCTTGCATGTAGGACATGTTCTGGAGTCTTTTCAACACAAAGACACTAGTGTTTGTTGAATCGGCAGACAATATTATTGCAAACAATGCTGTAGCATGGACATTATAAATAACATAACTAGCAACACTAGCTTGCGTTAAGAAGAATCTTTTTCAAAATGGGTTTTCAAAACCATTTTGCTGTCACATTTTGTTTCTTTTGAAACTCTCAACTTTTAGCCCATCTGCAGTCATTTTTCCCTTGACTATTATTCCCCTCCATGAAACTGATTATGTGGTAGTTTCAAAATTGTGGAAAGTTGGGTGAAATTCTAGCCTGTTTATTTGTGTGAGAGACAGTGGCATCTGCTTGGAAATATAGCAGATATGAGTGATCATCCTAATTGGTGCACATTTATTTGTACATTTACTTCACTTTATTGTGTTTTTAGAAGGACATAATTTGTAAATTGTGTAACTGTAACACTAGAGAGTGCAAGAGACCTGTTTTGTTATTCTTACGTCTTCCTCTTTCATCCTGAAATCAGTTTTGATATCCATTTATAATAAAGCTTGCTTGTTTTGGGGGGTCTGACACATTTAACTTCTGCATAGTGGTTTTAAGACTGTCTTTGCTTTCCTCGTTTGATCCCAACTGTCTGCACTGATTTAAAGCTATACAACCTGGTGTCAGAACCACCATTTAGAGTTGGAGCATGGTTAATCAACTCTGGTTCACAGGCAATGAGGCAGAGAGTCCTCCTTTAGGCAGCCAGTTGCATTATCTTTCTAAATATATTTGTTCAGGGCAACTTGAGCAACCATGAATTGTTTTGTAGTTATACAACCATTAGAATGTGTGTGTAATCTGTAACATTTACAATGTGACTTTTAACTTCCTTTAAAGATGGGAATTATTTCACATTGGATTGTCTCCCCCCCCCCCCCCCCCCCTCATTTCCTATTACCAAATTCCATTTACTTTGGTTTAGGGTATCAGTTTTAAGAGGTTTGTTCTATACATATGTTCATGCATAAACTGTAAATAGATATTCCCATGATACATTCCAAGTTATTGCAAGTCTGGACAAGATACAGAAATGAAATTCCTATGTTATTCAAGGACTTTTTAGTTAGTCTTTTCTATTGAGCCCAGGGCAGCGCATGGGGCAGAGGTCGTAGCTCTCCATGGCTGGCGGTTCGTTGCCATCTATTTTAGGTCTTGGATGTTTATTAAGCTCATAGTTAAGCCTTCCCTGATAATGGTTTCTATACAGGGTCTCTCTTGGTCTTCCCTGTTTTTTTCCTCCTGGTGTCCATATAAGGATTTATTTCCTCCCGGGTAATTATGAGAATTCATTACGGTGGCAGAAA